AATGCGTAATGTTCTGCTGACCGTGGCTTCATGCCCACCGTCTGAATCTTTCCTAACAGCTCGTGCTGTTCTACAAGCAATACTTGAAACAAAATACCAAAAACATTCGCAAAGGAAAAAGAAAAACAGTTCAACATACCTTCGTAATGTAGGGACAGCGGATCATAATTTGGGTTATAAACCAGGTCGGTCCAGGCTTGAAGAACCCTCACAGCTTTTCCGCGCCATTCAGCACGCACTCGCGACGCCAGAATATCCAGTTTACTTTTAGCGCGAGCTGTCATGCGTCGACAATCATAATGCTCATACTGTGCTTCATTGTTCGTATTTCTGATCAAAATTTTGCGAAAACGAACCGAATTTCGTGGGATCACATCTCGAATCTGTCCGCAAACTTTGTTTTCGCCACCGCTTGGATAGCTCTGGCGATAGCTAAGCCGAGAAGGCAGGTTCTGTGAGTTGACAAGCTCTAAAAACAATAAAACTAAGACAAAGACAGGAGCCGTCATCTTAGATCGTTTGCTTTTTTGCCAAGATTGACTTGTCCGGGTAGTTTTTACTGACTCGTCCTTGTAAACTTTCTCTTGTCGAGGACTGGATCAAAATGCGAGGACTTGAAATCTAGTCCAGTCCGAATTTGAGGATTTGAAATCGTATCGTATCGTAAAAATTTATTTCAAGACGCTAGCCTCATCAACATAAGTTTGTTTTCATGAGGGGCGTCGTCAATTTATTTAATTTTGATCCAGTCCTTGGACTGAATTAAATTTGACCTCTAAGGTCGCAGGTTCAAATCTCAATGAGAATTTCTCAATCAATGTGACTCGAACCCAGTTCTCATGTGAAAAGAGTAAAAATCAACGCTCTGCCGAAAGTCGTGGGTCAGTTTCTGCGGGTACTCTGGTTTCCTCCCACAGGGAAAGTTGACAGGGTGGGTTAGGCACATAGGTTAGGGGGCAAATCATTAATGAGGTATGGACTAATAGCTCGGCTGCTTAAAGCGCCATTTGTAAGCTCACAGTCTACTTCGGTCTGCTTTACGACAGTTCCGGCTGTAATTGTAATGCGCACTTGATCATATACATATTTACAATCGCGCAATAGAAATATTAAATATTATTAATATTAGGACTGGATCAATATACTTCACTAGGTATCGTATCCAGTATTATCATGTAAGCAAAATAAAGCAATATGTTTTTTTTGTTGGTGCAGTTGACAGTGGTTGTTATTGTGCACTGCACTTCATATACATCTGGAGTGAGAACTCGAGTCCAAAAACTGAGCCAAAGATGACGTCAGTTTCAGTCCCTTTCTATACCTGGGTTTCAGTCACGTGATACGTGTAGTCCACTCCAAATATGGAAACACATTTATCGGATTAAGTTATAATGAATATTTTATAAATATTCATCTTGTGTTTTGTATCTATTAATATCATTTTAGTCAATTTACTCGATTCTGATTGGTTAAAAATCTTGCCGATTAAACATTAGTCGCACAGTTGTGGTTAAGGATTAATCGGCACGGATACGAGCCCGCGTGCATCAAACACAAAATTTCAAAATCAACGACTTGAAAATTTCTATTTTCTAAAGTAGAAATAAAAATTACTCACAGTTTTTCACAGGGAGTATGAATTGAAAATTAATTTCAGAAATTAGTCTCAAAATTGACAAAGGCGCGTATAGCTGTGCTCGCTTGACTACAATAATATAATGATTGCCAGTCGTGTAAAATTGACTATAAAAATGATATTAACAGGAAATTACACTTGTTCTCGAAGTATTAATGAAAAATCACATTTGTGTTTGGCGAAATATTTATAATACTAATCGTGCTACGTACTCGCGGTATTATAAATATTTCGCCAAACACGCGTGCGATTTTTCATATATTACTTCTCGAACCGTGTAATTTCCTATAGTATACAAATATATGCAATTTAACGAAATTTGCTTGCTTGCACAAGACATAAAGCGGCAATATGTGTAAAGTTGACCAACAAGCGTTTCTCTATTGTATAAGGCTTGAGTGAAATCTACCTACTCCAAAATTTCGTATTTTGACTTTAATTTAATTTATGAACTGATAACTTGATTAGCGATATGAAAAGCTGGAATTAGTTGGGGAAAATGGTATTAAAATGGTTTTATTTTGGACGTCAAAATCCGTCATATTGACTACACTTTTCTCATAGGCCAAAAAATTATATTTCACTCAACAGACAATTAAATTACATACACCAAACGTCGCTTACCGGGGATGACGGAGGCACGTATGTAATGTTGATTGGTGTATTCGACCCAATCAAATCCCGCCTCGATTGCAAGACCCGCCAAACGACTCAGTTTCCCGCGATCACCATCCGATATTTGAAGACGCACTGAACGACCTGTAATTAAAACAATACAAAAATTTAAAACTTGTTACGCAGTCAGCCGAGACGTCCTGGGAACGAAGATGGCACTTCAAAGGTTTCAATCTAGCTCAGCCAATCAGCTCCTTGCCTTAGGCCACGAAAATGCCACTGAAGAGACGCGACATTCAGACTTAAGAAATGTCGCCTAAGGCCCGTTTCATACGTCGCACTATCGTCGAATTTAATCGGATTTAATTCAGACGAATTTAATTGAACGATTAAATGCGACGGTAGTGCATCGTATGAAACGAATTACATGTAAATTCGTCCAGGACGTTTTATCCGTCATGGTCAGACGGATACAACGTCTGTAGCGCGTCTTCGTTTAATACGACGTCGTATCGTCGTGTCGAATTAAATGCATAAATTATGTTAAAGTATGTTTCTCTCTTTCTGGTCTCGTGGTTTTTACTTCTGGGTAATCCATGATCGCTAGACATGAAACTGAAGAATTCGTCTGAATTAAATTCGTCGTTTGAATTAAATTCGTCTGAATTAAATTCAACGTATGAAACAGGCCTAATATAGGAAACATTTTGCTGAATTATTTTTTTCTGGCTTGTTAACACCCTGTTAGTTTAATTAAATTCCACCATCTAAATCACAAATATATGGCGTTTCACAATGTTCATTTACACAGGGCGAATTCCGGGTTTATTCAAACACTGAAATGAAGGTTATTACTATAACAGGGAATGGGGAATCGGGGAATGCTAAAACCCGGAATACTAACAGCCGGAATCTCCAAAATCCGGAACACTAAAAGCCGGAATCTCTAAAATCCGGAATACTCTTAAGGTGGCACCCTACACTTTTTTAAATTAAAGATTTTCGGATTTGGATATGATTTTCTGGACAATACTAGATTCCCCATATTACGTTTTCGTAGCGCTTCGGCTTTGCATTGTGGTTATAGTGGTATCACTGATATTCAAGATGGCTTATTTTTTGTCCTGACCCGTGCAAGAACTTTTAAAAAAAGCTAGGGTCAGGTGCGCGATAGCCAACAGCAAAATATTCGTGAAAACATTCAATATTTTCATTCGAGGTCACTAGCTTAAGTTTAAGTTTAATACGAATATTTATACAGGATAATACACTTCAACTAAAAAAGCTGTTATCAATGTGTGTCCTGTTATCCTAAAAAGTCTAGAAAGAACTAACTATTAAAAACTCTAAAAAAACTCTAAAAACTATATGTACATTAAGAACTAATTCTTATATACCATATTTAAAACCGTTTATAATTCATTAAAATGTTCCGTAACCTTATTCTCAAAATCCGGATTGTTCTCAATCTTTCTTAATTCTATAGGTAGGTCGTTATAAATCTTAGCTCCCATAAAATAGAAAGATTTACGAGCATACTCAGTTTTAATCGCTGGTGGCTTTATCATATTGTTATTGTTTCTTGTTTCTCTGCCATGTTGCTGCATTGTGAAGTAAGTTTTAAAAATATCACAAATGTCATTATCAATGCATTTGCGCACCAGTTTGCATGCTCTTAATTTGTTGGCATTTACAGCAGATATAAGATGTTGTTCACCCGCCTGTTCCCCTTTGAACACAGTGGACACAGAACGGTCGTGGAATGATAGAAGTCTGGCCAGCTGCGTTCGACCTAGGTTTAATTGCAGTACGCCACAATACGTAAGTATGGGCATGATCATCGTGCGATAAATGGCTTTGGCCGAAGGTAAATCGAGAAGATCTCTTATCTTAAACAAGAGCCTCAACCGCCCTGATGCTTTCTTGAGACTTTTTTCAAACTGAGAACTCAAACTCAGTGATCCGTCCACATGCACGCCAAGATATTTATAATCAGATGTATTCGTTATTGTAGTCCGCGTGGAGCATGGTACGGAGACCTCGAGTGGCTCAGTTTGCATGCTTCTTCGTTTGGCAGTTCCAAATAGAAGGGATTCCGTTTTGCCCTTCTTTAGGTTGATTATCAGTTCGTTTTCTTTCAACCAGCCAGCAATCGAATCCATGTCTTTATCTAATTTTGCTTGAATTGATTGGGTCTGCTTGTCTGCAACGTACAAAACAGTGTCGTCAGCATAGTTAATGACTTTGGAATGGTTTACCACATCTGTTATATCATTGAAGAAAACCAAGAACAGCAATGGTCCCAATATCGATCCCTGCGGGACACCAGAATAGATTTCGTGTACCTCAGATAAGCAGTTATTGTAGCTTACTACCGCTTTACGGGAGAAAAGGTAGTCTTTAAACCATTCAAGCTCACCGTCATTTATTCCATATCGAGAAAGTTTATCTAGTAGCTTTGCGTGGCTGATTGTGTCAAAAGCCTTACTCAAGTCAATAAATACGGCACCAACTAGTTTCCCCGAATCAACTTCTCTACGTATATCATCCAATAATAAGGTTGTTGCAAGCTCAGTCGAAAGGCCACGGCGGAAGCCAAACTGAAACTCAGACAAGAGAGAATTTTTGTCCAAAAATGACATTAGTTGACGGTGGACTATCTTTTCAATGATTTTAGACAGGACCGGTAGTATCGAAATTGGTCGATAGTTATCTAGGTTTGAATGTGCTCCAGACTTATATATTGGTATGATCTTGGCATTTTTCCAATCAGCTGGGAAAATGTTTGTTGCTAGTGAGAGGTTAACCAAGTGCGTCAAGGGAGCAGCTATCAACTCAGCAGAGTCTTTCAGTAACCCTGGAGGTAAATCATCGAGACCCGTTGCTTTGCTGCGTTTAATTGATTTTAGTTTTCGTTCAACTTCGAATTTCGAGACCGGTTGGAATTTGAATTTCAGGTCAGTTCTAACTGACATACTCGCGGGCGTTCTCCAGGCAAAATCGCATAAAGGAAAAGCCTTTTCCTTTAACGTTTTGACAGTTCCTGCAAAAAACTCACCGAACGCATTTGCGATTGTCGAGGGGTTACAGGATTTAACTTCACCGTCGATGTCGAAAGATTGTGAATTGTGCTTCTTAAAATTCTTACAGGGAAAAATAGACTTAAGCACTTTCCAAAATTTGCTAGGATTTTCAGAATTTTCGCTTAGCAAATTTTTATAATAAGACGATTTTGCTCTCCTAATTGCAATGTTCGTCTCGTTACGCTTTTGCTTGTACGCTAAAGAGTCCGCGATACTTCTGGTTCGCCTCGATTTTCTCAGCAGTTGGTCTCGCTCATTCATAATAGATTTTATATCCTCATTTAGCCATGGGGCAGGCTTTCCCCTTACATTCTTCTTAATGATTGGAGCATGACGGTTGTATAGATTAGTTAAAGTAGACTTTAGTAACAACCAAGCGTCATTAACATTTGATTCGTTGTAAAACGGCATCCAATTAATTTTCCGTAAATCAGTTTTCAACAATTCTGGATTGTAGTTTTTATAGTCGCGACAGGATATCAGCCTGGCATTGTAGTGGTTTGAATTTAACTTTCGTGCACAACCTATCATTTCGTGATCTCCAATGCTTGTAGGAATGACTTCAGATTGTACTAAGTTCACAGGTTTGTTTGTTAAAATGATATCGATTAACGATTCAGTACTTTCTGCGATTCTTGTGGGCTGCCTAATCATTTGTTTGAGGCCATGCACATTAAATATTGACTTAAGATCTTTATTGTCTTTATTGTCAAGAAAATTTGCATTCATGTCCCCGAGGAGTATGGTTTCCTTTGATTCACTCATAGCTTTTGTTAGCATGCTATTAAACAGTTCATTAAAGTCTTTGTTTAGGTGCTTGGATGAATCAGGAGGGCGGTAGACAGACGCAATCAAAATACCTTTCGAACTTTTAGGGCGTATTTCAAACCAAACAACTTCAATTTTTTCGTTTTCTAAATCTAGTCTACGATCCCAAATAAGTCCATCCGATATGTAGGCACCAACACCACCCCCTTTCCCAGATTTTCTTGGTCGACTAATAAATGAATACCCGGGAATATCGTAATATGAGTCAGGTTCGAATCCGTCTTGCTCATCAATATGCGTTTCACTTAAAGTCAGGATGTCAATTCCTTTGAAGCTTTGAAATAACTCTGAGATATACGCAAAGTTAGACGATAGCCCTCTGGTATTTTGGTGCAAAATCTTTAAGCCTTTTACCTTAAGCAATGACATAAGTTCATCGATAACTCTCTCGCCACCACCGATTTGAGCTGATGTAGGTCCAGGGCAAGATTCAACGTCGCCACATAGCAAGATCAACAGAGTAATATAGCTTCGTGTTGAATTTCGAAGCTGCACGGATCGCCCGTTTCTCTTCGGTTGCCACAAACTTGAAGAAATAAATGATTCATTTCCACTGGATATCTCCTTTCCCTCAGTGGAAAGACCAACAGTGTCTGAAGTGACAAAAGCTGTCTTTTTCACCTGTATACAGGCCAGAAAAACCAACAAGATCAGAGCAGGTTTTAGCGTGACCACCATAACCGAGAGCATTTACAGATTGAAGCATTTCTTGCCATAACCGAGAGCATTTACAGATTGAAGCATTTCTTGCCAATAATGCAGGGGAAATTCTTGTTAGTTTGCGGGATAGCCTGTCCTGTGTGTTACAATTCACACAGAAAACTAGCCAGCTAGATTGCTGGATAGTCGAGGCCTGTTAATACAAAGGCAAGTGAGTTAGCCATGCAAGCAAGGCAAGTTACTGTTTGTATGGAATTGGCTTATATAGCATTTGCTAAGCAAATTCCATATAAACAGAAACTTAGCATAAATTTGTGCAACACACAAAGTCGCTTAAAAGATTTAAAATCATTACATATAAAATATAATGATAATACAAGAATGCCAAGAAATTCAGGAAAGCTGATATCTAATTATTCACATCTATTTGTAAGCTATTATTTTAAATGCAAGACAAATTTCTACCTTTCCTGAGTAAAGTGTTTACATGGATGGTAAAATAAGTCATTTCACCTGGGCAAGATTTTGTGTCTTTCTGCCAGAACTTGCCAAGGTGAGTTGCCAGGTTGTATCATATAAACTCACCTTGCCGGGTAACTTGCCTCCATTTAAACAGGCCCCTTATATACTAGACATTCTCATATGAACAACCCCTATAAACATGATTTTTTTATGTTGGTCTTGTGTACTCAGGTGAATATATATTTGTGATGTTACTCGGAGTGTATATCCACACCAGGCAAGCTTGAAAAAATGCCTCGCCACGGTGGGAATCGAACCTACAACCTTTGGAATACTAGTCCAATGTTTTGCCAACTGAGCTACGCGGTCAGGTCGGTTCGAGTATGTGATATTTCTGAACTGAGTCCAGTTCCTTCAACATCAATGTAATCTAATAATCATATTTTTTTTTGCAGAGTATTGGGCTAGTATTCGAAAAGTCGTAGGTTTGATTCCCACTGTAGCCAGGCATATTTTTTCAAGCTTGCCCAGTGTGGATACACACTCAGAGTAACATCACAAATACTGGTATCATATTCACCTGAGTACACAACACCAACACACAAAAAATCATGATTATTAGATTACATTGATGTTGAAGGAAGTAGAGTCAGTTCCGAAATATCACATACTCCATAGATATCTCATATACACTAGATAGCGCATCTCGGAATACAAAACTGAAGCCAAAAATATCAGCGGTTTCCCCCATGAAAATAGGCGGCGGCCATATTGGTCGTTCCCACTCATCAATGAAATGCTATAGAAAATACTATACTTTTCGAGGCTTTTTTGCATTTCTGGATTAAAAATACCTTTTTGAGGTACGTTCGCCTTGAAATCGCAGCTTTTTTGGAAAAGGGTACAAGAAAAAAACATTAATTGGCGATGTTGTTGTCTTTGAATCGCATTTTAAAGCTAAAAATTTCGAATTACGACATTGACTTTATATACTTGTTTTGAATCTGTGAGTGATTCTCTGGTGAAGTATCGTCTAATCAATACATGTTCTTACGGTTTCTAGCACCACTTTATGGAAATGGAAGTTGGTAAGTAACGTTTCGAGTATCGGCGTAGGCAGTTTATACTGTAAAAAAACAGAGTCTGCACTTTCAGTTTGGGCAGTTTTCACTGTAAATCTTCAGTGAAATGTGTCAGACAGTCTGAGTCTGCACTTTCAGCTTGGGTAGTTTCCACTATAAATCTTTAGTGAAACGTTTGAGACAGAGTTTGCACTTTCAGCTTGGGCAGTGTTATCACTATAAATCTTTAGTAAAATTATGTTTGAGGCAGAGTCTGCACTTTCAGCTTGGGCAGTTTCATAGTAAATTTTAGTAATATTTAGCTTTCTCTAATACATTCTGTGTAATCACTCACACTGGTGCTTAAAAGGTACAAGTTTATTTAATTTCTTTCTAATTTTTTGTCCAGATGAATTCTCAGTGGTCTTTTTTCCAAGATGGTAAAATTTAACCTCACAGTAACTCTTGATGATGCTCTTGGTCAACTGAAATATAACATGATTTTCACCAACTGGTGAGTCAAAAATATGGTGATCTAGCTCAGTAAAAAGATTGTGTATGGACAATGAAGCCAGAACATATGGACAATGAACAATGAACAATGAAGCCAGAACAGAAGTGGTCAGAGCATATAAGTGTCTGCTTTCTGAGAACAGAACAGTATGGACAATGCAACCAGAACAAAAGTGGTCAGAACATATAAACATCTGCTTTTTGGGTGACCACTTTTCTTGATGAATATTTTGTATCAACTGTTTTCATAGTACTTCATCCTTAGGGATGTTTATCATGTTAATGCAAGTCTAATTTCAATCAATATAATAGTATACTGTAAAAAACTAAAAATAAATTGCTTACTGATGAAATGTCCTGGGAAGTTTTCTTTTGATTTTTGATTCTGTCACTTGACCCTTCACTGTTACTTCTTATACTTTTTGCATCAGAAATGACTTTACCCATTGCTATGAAATTTTCTGAGTTTAATTCAAATTTTTAATTTCAATTGGCACCAAAACTTCTTCAGGTCTCCAAATTTTTTTTAAAATTGGACATTTTTTAATGATATTTACAGTAACCACTAAACTCAAAAGGCAAAAATTGAGAGTTTATCATGTTTTCAATTCCTGAGAGTACTGGCAAATTTATTTTATTTTTTTAGAAAAGTTTAATTGTTGTGCATCTGATGAGTCAAAGAATTAGAAAACACTATTTATACACAAAGTCAAAAGTAATACTTTATTATAACAATAGAATTATTTATACAATAGTGAGTGCAACTATATTTAAGATTATAAAATCTACTGTGCATCAAGCAGTTTATCCCATTGACCTTACAATATACAATAATGCAAGAAGTAATGTGTCTCATTACAAAATAGGGTTTCCCAAAGCAGTTTTAAAATTCAGCTGATTATCAATGACCTATGCTGTTAATAATTACAGTAATTTGGCAGTTTGATTGCTTGAATTAAAAACAAAAGGTCTAGGACTCAACAGAAAGAAATATTTCTTAACATCAAATATTAAAGATAGTTTGAAGCATTCATACAATTGAAGGTTTTAGAAAGTTTGATTATCAACTACATTTACATAAAGCATTATAATATAGCATTTGTAAATTCTGAACGCTGATTGGCTAAGAGCCGTGTTGATATAACTCAATGTCAACACGGAAACGTCGGAAAATTTCTTTCATGTTTTTTTGTGCTATATTATAAAACAAATATAAAAATTTTTTCCGTATTGATATATAGTTATATCAACACTCGTGGAAATTGGGAAAACTTGAAATTGTGTGAAAACGTGTTTCCACACAATTTCTCGTTTTCCCAATTTCCACTCGTGTTGATATAACTGTATATCAACACGGAAAATGTTTTATTTTTGTTAAATATCAATTATGTTATATTGCCTGCGAATATATTAAGTTGCAATTATTCTTCTCTAGCTTCTAACACATTTTAATCTTGATGTGATTCCATGGAACTATAAAATAATATATGATATGTATGTATGTATGTAATAAATATACAAATAGTAAGGAGTAAGAACCATTTTTGGTGTCAATGTTTTATATATTGACTATTTAAGATTTTAAGTCTATTTTTGCCATTGATAAACTGTGACTAAAATATGTTTTTCAGTGTCGCTGTCTTTTACAAAAGAATATGCAAATACATTCACAATTTTGCCATGAAGCAATGGCGATGGCTCAAAATGTTTTATTTGGAATTGGTGGAACTATATTTATATATACATCAACAATGATGGTTTGTCCATAAGGTTTGTCCTATGGGCGCCCTTCATACGGGTCAACAAATATTGATATTTTCGGAAAAAAAAAAAATTCAGCCTACCCGTTATTCACAATATGAAGCTCCAACGATCTGGCATCATTTACAACAAATTGCACACTTGAAAAACCAAAATTGATTGCATAAAAGAGGATTTATTGTCAACTTTGTCCATTTTCGCAATACAAAATATACAAATTATCACGCTCCGTGGGAACGACCAATATGGCCGCCGCACGTAAACTGCAACTGCGATCAGGCTTCAATTTTCGCCTGCCTACAGGGATGTGCTATCTAGTGTATATGAGATATCTATGACATACTCGAACCAATCTGACCGCGTAGCTCAGTTGGCAGAACATTGGGCTAGTATTCCAAAGGTCGTAGGTTCGATTTCCACCCTTGCCAGGCATATTTTTCAAGCTTGCCCAGTGTGGATACAAACTCAGAGTAACATCATGAATATCAACCCCTATAAATTTTAATGTAAAATTATAAGTTTGATACCGGCAATTAAACACTATGAACTATCGAGTTTATACTTGAATCAGCATATATCAATGGTCGACACGAAATCAGATTTGATTTAAACAGGAATACTGCACACTATTTGGTGTCGTTTTACATATTTTGAATACATGTGCATATACAGTATTAAATATACAGCATGCTAGAATATCGTCTTGAATATATGCACATTCAACCGCACGTTGTTTGTATAATTGAGATTTTAGCATTAACTGACAATAATCGGTATTTATTACCCCGCCATTTTTGTGTTTCGTTGAGACGGGAAATCGACTGGTTGTTGCAAAACACTAGGCTTTCTAATACACAAAATATGAACAAAAAACATTACCTTGCCGTATCTGACCACATTCAATGCCTTCAGAAGTAATTTGGCCAAGTAAAGATGCGTCTAGGTGTCCAAAATTAACATTTTCAACGACCATAATTTACACTATAAGCTCTTTATTCCAAAGTCAAACTGCTGAAGGATCAAAGTTCAAATTCTTTACCCAGAGTCCTCTTATTCCAGGCTACGTCATGTAATGTACACTATAGTGGATCGATACTATATGACAATGAAAGAGAGATTAGAATAATTTTGGCAATTATTATGCTTTTACTTTTTATGAAAATGCTTACTACAATATGGAGTCTGAATAACAACAGAGACACCTGATCAGTTGAAATTATT